ACGTTTGGTGAAAATAATAGATCTATTGTTGCAATAAACCCTCCAATTGTATACATTTTTCTGTATAATATCATATCGTAATGAGCTGTTGTATTATGTACAAAAAAGTTGTATTACGAGAGTCTTTCCATAATGTGTGTAATTCGTTGGATATAGATTCATCACAATCAATCTGCCACAAGTCTTTCATAAGAATTTTCGCTATTATGACGGATGGTCCTAGTAACCCCAAAGGGTCAAACGCTAATGCTATTCTAGATAGTAGGGATGCACCGGATATCCGGAAAGTATCCGGTATTATCCGGCAATTTTTTCTATCCGATCGGATAGCCGGATATCACTATTATCCGGGGAGACATCCGGTTGAAATTTGATATTATTAAGTATTGATTTTTTCTTATACAAATGTTCTAGAAATAAGTATGCATATTCATGATGCTGTAATACCTTGTACATTATTGCAAAATTATAATCTTTTTCTCTCTATAGGCCTTTTTTTTTTAGAAGACACTTTCTCGGAATCCGGTCGAATGTCCGGAAAATGTCGGCTCGAAGAAATTGCCTTCTCGGATATCCGATTGGATATCGGATATCAGATAATACATTCTGCCCGGATATCCAATATCCGGTATCCGGTAATTTTACGAACCGGTGCATCCCTAGCTAGTATGCTACGTTTGGTAGATTTTCCTAGTTAAGTAAATAAGTAAAGAAATATATCAATGTGTTAACATCATCGAATAATACAGCTATCTAGATTTCCATAATGCATTAAAATACAATGTAATATTATCGAGTGACATACTAATAATTGCGATAAGTCATGATTATTTACAAAGTCACAGTATCATCACGATTAAATTCGTGCCGGAAATGATGTCTTAAAAAAAACTCTATAAAAATAACTGCGTAATATAGTTGTGGACTTGCGTATGAATTTGAACTTTGACATAACGGATATTTTTTAATGCCTTGTGTAAAAACGCTTAACACAAGCTACTAGCCGAAATATTTAAATTAAAAATACACTTTTCATTTTGTTTGAAAAATTTTCTTCTTTCAATAGAATAATCATTCCTAAAAATATGCTCCGTTACTTTTGTCTCAGATATCGACGATAGTCATGACTAAATTAAAAAGGTACCTAATACAATAGCTTGTTACATTATGATATTATACAGAAAAATGTACAATTAGAGGATTTACTGCAACAATGGACCTATATTTTCATCAAACGTAGATTAGCCCACTGTTTTCCTATCACTTTAACTTTAATTTTTTCCATATTCTAAAATGTGTATTAACTCATTATTGCAATAAACCCTTTAATTGTAAATATATCAAAGACTTCACATTACACATTTGCAAACATATTTTTTTACGCTATTATACATATACTGTAAGTTCTTATTAAATATGCAAGTTATATAAGAATTATCTCACAGAGAATACATATATCTGAAAGATTTTCAAAAGATTCTTGAACTAGACGTCTGTAAAACTTTTCCAAAAGACGTCTTTTAGACATCTTTCAAACATTTTCGAATGATGTCAGAAAATTATTCAAGTTTTGGAGCATGTAATAGCAATTTCCATTATTAACTGCAAATTTTATTTATATATTGAGTATATAACATGGTCAATCTGAATAGAATATGTAACCTATAAAATTATTGAATGTCAATTAATTTAGCATTCTAATATTTTGTATTATATTATAATGTTCTACAATTACACAATTATACGAAGCTGTCGGGAAACGCGTTGACACAAGGAAGAATACGAAACAGCAATTGAAATTACTTGATAAAACGGTACATGAATACCATTTTACGGTATATGAATGATATACGTACTTAATATGTATTTTTAATGATGATCTATTATCTGTTACAATTATAGACCGTTACTGAAGATCTATGTTATTAAAAGTATGATATTCACATACCGATTTATTAGATAATTCCAACTTCTGCTTCGTATATTTCATCTTGTCAACGCGTTTTTATTAGTAATTTTTATTTTTATTTTTAGACAAATGTCTAAAGCAAGTCTTAAAGACAATGTCTGTAAGACGCCGTAAAAACAATATCTATAAGTATAAGATATGTCCTAAAGATAATTCTATAAAACATCATAAGGGACAAATCTGTAAGATATTTTAAGGATAATGTCTTTAAGATGTCATAAATCAACGCATAAGACAACTTAAAGACGTCGTATAAACGTTATTCTGATACTTCCAAAAAATGTCTCATGAATTTTAGGACATCTTTATAATCTTATAAGTAGACTGCGGAACTTTATGCAAAATACTTAACTGAATATTAACTATCGGACAGTTTTAGCAGTCAATCGTTGTTCGTTAAAGAGTTATTAAAAGGTGAAGTAAAAAGATTGAGATTGCCATCTGTAAATTTACAAAATTGCAAAATATGCATTTTATGCAAAACATTCAGTTAAGTATTTTGCATAAAGTTCCGCAGTCTACTTATAAGGCATCTCGTTGTTCTCTGGAATAGTAAAATATTTAGGAAGTAAAAAGAAGATAAGAATAAATTCACACATGTTCATATGTTTATGATCTGCTACAAAATACGTATAATACACTTTTACAAATAAAACATAATTAAATAATATAATTAACAGTAAATGCTAAATGATAAATATACGTAGAGTAAAAGCAGGGAATTTAATGTGGAATAAGCCGCTAATACGGAATAGCTTTATATTCTAAACGAAACATTGCAATCTAGCGGCAATCGCTGAAAGTTGTTGCAATTGCTACCAAACGTGTCATAATAAGCAATGAGCTCAATCTGACAAAACGTTTTATTACAATAAACATTAATTTATTTTCGTTGCGTCAGGAGATTCGACAGCTCCTTCTAAAAAGTGTTCTCACAAACTAAAGTTTGTTAATGCTTATATTACATAGACGCTTTTAATAATTTTACGCATGAACAATAGATACTATGCATAAATTGCAATTACTTACTTAAGTTTATTACTACGAAAAGACTTCGTCATATGATGACATTCAGATAAATATGTAATATGAAATACATCGAAAGTTCCATATTAACAATTTAAACGGGAAGCACAGACTTTATATAACGCATAACATATAATGCGTAATGAAAATATATCAATCAAAGTCCTTCGTTTCCTTCCTTTTTATGAAATAATGAACTCTGATTGAATTTCTTACGCATTATGTGTTATGCGTTATGCAAGAATCTATGCCTCCGGCTTTATTCGTGATCAGATAGGTTGATTATAGAAAGTATTCCACACATTACCAGCTTATTTGCGATTATATGTTATAGATTGTATTCCATATTACCAGCTTATTTGCTAACTTATATCCAATGATGCCATTATAATATAATGGCATCATTGGATATAAGTAAAAGTCGCCAAAATTTAAGTCCAACGTCAATATTAATAACAAAAAAGTAAGAAGTGTAAAAATAGGGAGGGGGGTTTAAAACCGATTAAACCGATCAAAAAAAATAGTTAAAAATAGTTTATATTTTCCATTATATATATATTATTTTATATTATATTATATATTATATAGTTCATATTTTATTGTACAATAACACAGAAAATAATATTTTCTTATTGTCAAATAAAAAAATGCCCTATACATATTTTGGTTGCCCTACTCATTAGCATTATAAACTAATTATGTTTAAAAAGAAAATCATGTATTTTCATGCTCGAAAAGAGTGACTGTGATGAAGTTTTTTAAAAATTTAGCTTATAGATACAGATTTGAAAAAATATAATTTTGTTGGGCCATTAAAATTGTTATTATATAGGAAACTCAAGTACAATGAATAACGTCACATAAAATATTAACATTCTAACTTCTAGCAAATTGAGAATCCTACATAATTATTTTGATAGCCCAAATTATTTTCAAATCTATATTGTGCCAAATTTTTAGATATTTCATCAAAACCAATTTTTCCATACAGAAAATACTCTTTTCTTGTATATTAATAATTGCAAAATAATGATTGTATTGATGATTTAATTTGCATATACAATTACGATTTAAAATTAGTTATGGAAAATTAAAGTGATTTATTATATAATATAAATTAATTTCATATGAACCGATTATTATTAAATACGTAATAATGCGTATTTTCCTTCGCTTTTGCAAGAAAAACTGATTTAATATTTCGCAAAAAAAACCAGTTTGTAATTATTTCCTACCACTTACAAAAGATACAAGATTAATTGACTATGATATGTATCTGTAATATTCCTTTTGCTTGTATATTGTGGAAAAATTTTCATCATTAACAAACAAATATCTGGAGTTACGATAATAGTATCTCGGCGCTAAGTCAAGCGCAGCGTTATTATTACCGGATATTCTTTTGAATAAAATTAATGATTTTCATTATAATATGTAATGTTAAACATTATTATAAATTTATTAAATAACATAGTTAAAGTAGCCATTAAAGTAGTTTTTACGTTCTCAAAATTTATATTTATAAATTATATATAAGATAAAATTATAATTGTTATAAATAAAATAATTTAATAGAAAATAAAAAGATCGTGTACTTTTTTTTACTTTTGATCTGAACAGAACGTGTCATAATTATAAATATATTAAAAAGAATAAAATATAAATATTTATGTATTCAAACAAGAGAGAATAATACTAAGTATCATAATATTTATGATATGAAATATGACGACGAAAAATGATTATATGTTATTAAATAATATAATGTTATCATGTTTTATATGAAACATTATGTTCTTCAATTTATTAAGAATATAGTTTATTTATATATAGAATTATATTTATAACATACATGTTTATATTTATATTATACATATTTTTTATTACCAAAACTAACCAACTCATATAAGAAAATGTACACGAAATAACTATAATTTTTGTGAGTAAAAATAACACGAAGGATATTTATTATATTTATTATATTTTTATATAGATAATAGCGGTAAGACAATTCAGCGATTACTCATGTATACATGAATAAAAAAGAGCTCATGTGTAGAGCTCTGACTCTTTCTAGGTTGAAATAAGAATACAATGTATGTGCAAGAGGCTAACGTAGAAGATAGTAATTTCTCACTATTAATCACGCGTTAATCTTATTATCTTAACTTATTTCCATTAACTAAAGATATTCATTTTAAGGATGCAAGATGACATTATACGATTTATTAAATTACAAGAAAGATATCATACGATTTATTAAGCTTATGACACCCCATACTAATAAAACCATAATAACCGTTAACAAAGAATAATGATAGACCTTTAATCTGAAAGAAAAGAATCATTGTAAATATGGTTTATGAGACAAAAAACAATAACTTTTAGATAATTATACAATGAAAATTACTCGCCTCCTGTATTTCTCACGTCCTTTATCTAAGGTATCCATCGGATCTTTAGCTATGTATAAGCGCATACCAGGTATCATATTCTTGAGATATAATTCCCACTCCAAGTTATTTATATTGAAATTGAAAATCTGGCGATCAGCTGGAGTCACACGACTCCAGAGCTTTACAACGGCGTCATTGCTGAATTGCCATTCTTTCGACGAAAAGTACGCTATTATAGAGGTAAAATGGTTTATCTTCTTATATATCTTTAATAACCTAAAAGTTTAAACAACTCTATTTAAAATCCTGCAATATTCACAATAATGTTTTATTATGCTTTTAAGTCAACTCAGTAAATTCCTTACATGGGTTTTCGGCCAATAAGAAAGAGCACAGTGTCGACTATTACAGCGGGTATCATGTGCAGAATTATCACATACATATCGTGCACGAATTTATATTTGTTTAGAAAAAACATATAGTACCACATAACATGTGTGCTTGGTACCTGCATGCCGTATATTTCATTTAATTTCATAAATCTCTTCCAAGTAATGGGATTTTGGCATATCGACACGTAATTGTAAATTGGCACTCTCTCAGTTTCTGGAACATCCGGATTTGCGCTCTCGATGCTCAATAAAGTATTTCTAACAAAAATATATTATAAATGTATAATAAATAAAATATATATAAAATATACATAATAATATATAATATATAAAATGTATAATGTATTGTAAATGATAAAGTATCCCATATGCATTAGTCTTATTTTGTTATTTAGATTAATATTGATATAAAAGTTATAGAATATGAAGCGTTAAATCTTATAAAATTACATAAATCCTTAGAAATATTTTCGACATTTTATTTTTTAATTCGACTTAACAATTACTGAAGTTCTGTTGTATATGTAGCGCATTTATCTGTAGATTTTTTAGGTTAAAGCTCTAAGGCACTACAGCTTAAAAAATGAATTTAAGAAATTAGATAATTTAAATAATTGTACGTTTATTACGCAATTTTTTAAAATCGAAACAAAAAGTAGTAATTGTCGTTAACAGTATATGTACTTATGAGGCTGCTGCGTTAAAGCTCTTGAATACTCACCTCAGCCATATTGAATTCTGACATCATAAACAAGAAATGACACGTTGATTTTTCTTGCGTTCCATTGTAAATAAAGACAATTTGGATAAAATGGAATAATGATGTTGCTGTAAAACTCTTGTAAAAATTAAGTGAGCCAAGATTATCCTTATTCACTGTGACAGTCAATGCATAGTTGGAAAAATTTGTGAAGTGAAAATAGACTACGCATGCGTATTGAGTAGAAACTAGTAAACGCGTTTTAAGTGCTTTTTACGACTATTATTTATTGACTATCATGAGGGGAGAGAAGATAAGAATAATCTCGACCCATTTTTACATCGATCTCATTATTCCGTTTTATCCAAATTGTCTTTATTTACAAATAGAATGCAAGAAAAATCAACGTGTCGCTCTTATGACACATTTCTCTTTTCTAACATCACAATTCAATATAGTTGAGGTGAATACTTAGGAGCCTTAACACGATATCAATAACGTGATTAACATAATGATAATATAAAATTTATCATTAATAAGATACTATTGATAGTATTATTAATAAAATACTATTCATAGTATCATTAATAAGATACTATTGATAGTATCTCGTATTTGTGAATCTAGTCAGCAACATACAACAAGATTAATTAGGGAAGAGAGGAACACCATATTGTGGTACCTACTCGGAAATCACTTACCATGGATGCAAATTTTTATAAGTACGGTCCTGGCTGTACGATATTTATTTTTAAGAAGGACTTAAGCATATAATCTATTTATATATACAATTAGATTTAAATTTTATATTTTTTTGTATTATAATCTTTTTTCTTGCATCTTATTAATCATTATATGCTGTTCGTAAATAACTATATCATAAAGGTTTTTTCGATATTTGATTCTCTCATTATAGGTACTTATTTCATAAGCTCCTTGCGGAGAAATTGTGACAATGCAACATGTTGTTGATTTATAGAGAACGAAGAAAACAGGTATTTATACTTTGATTGAGTGGATCGTAACACTCGCCTTAAGTTTATGCTACATCTGTGTTACATCGAAAGCAATTATTATGACATAAGTTATATATCATGATAATTTAATAAATACTAAACAAAAGTTGATTACAACAATAATTTTTGTTTATATAATTATTAATGATAAATATATAAATAATTTTACTCATTGTGAAGTCAACTTCGATATAAATTAATTTGAAAGCAATATATCACTTATTTATTTTGTTTACAAATAATTGCGTATCTCTTGTTAAAAAAAAACCAGCTTTCATAATATTATATCGTTATAATTTATTTTATAAAATTATTTTATAGATTTTAAAGTAACTTTTTATAAACAATAATTAAAAGTATGGATAAGAATTAAAAATTTTAATTTTATTACACACACTTTCTCTCTCTCTCTCTCTCTCTCTCTCTCTTCTTTATAGTAACTTTTAGAATTCATATAATTACAAGAAAAACTAATTATGCTATAAAAATAGCAAAATTGTGAAAATTAATACATTAATCATGCATCTGCTGTTTAATAATATATGCACTGTATGTACTCTTTAACTTTAACCCTAGTTAGTATTCGCTCCGAAAGGGTCTAGCCGAATAAGTATATGAAAAATTCTCCCAAACCAAATCCAATTTTGAATACCTAACATTGTTAAGCTCGATAAAAGATTATTTTACACCAAATTTCAACCTGCTAAATTTATTCATGTAGCAGTAATGATGAAAGATGTAAATTTCAATTTTTTATTTTTATTTTTCTTCCGCGTAAATTAAAAAATCTGAAAAAATTTGACGCACTTTTTAGCATGATATTACATCTAAAAAGAATTTTTTGAGATTTTTTACAAAAAATGTGAATTTTAAAAAAAAGAAAAAAATATTAATTGCATGTTTTTTATTGAAAATATTCGAGTACTGTCTTCAGTAAATTATGGTGAATTAATCATTCCTTAATGACTGAAATATGTCGTATTCAGATTTTTTTTAAAGGAGTGAAGCATTGTTTCAAAAATTAAAACTCAGTTTTTTAATTTTTGAAACAATGTTCCACACCTTCAAAAAATCTAAAAAATTTTTTTTTAGATGTGATATCATATTCATAAAAAAAATGTCAAATTTTTTCAGATTTTTAAATATTTTTTATTTGTATTTCCTCGCCAGAAATGTATTTAATATAATATTATTATATTTATATATACACATTATTTTGAAATATTTTATACGATATGGCGTGTATAATCAAAAGTAACCAATTTTTTAAATGAAATTATAATGTAAAGAAAAAATATAAATTTAATTTTTTTGATATTTAAAAATCTGGAAAAAAATTGACACACTTTTAGCATATTACGTTTAAAAAAGAATTTTTTTGATTTTTTAAAGCTGTGGAACATTGTTTTAAAAATTAAAAAACTAAGTTTTAATTTTTGAAACAATGCTCCACACCTTTAAAAAATCTGAATACCACATATTTCATTCATTATAAGGAATGATTAATTCACCATAATTTACTGAAAACAGTACTCGAATATTTTCAATAAAAAACATGCAATTAATATTTTTTTCATTTTTTTAAAATTTACATTTTTTGTAAAAAATCTAAAAAAATTTTTTTTAGATGTAATATCATGCTAAAAAGTGGTCAAATTTTTTCAGATTTTTTAATTTATGCGGTAAGAAAATAAAAATAAAAAATTGAAATTGACATTTTTCATCATTACTGCTACATGAATGTATTTAGCAGGTTGAAATTTGATGTAAAATAATCTTTTATCGAGCTTAATAATGTTAGGTATTCAAAATTGGATTTGGTTTGGAGGCATTTTTCATATGCTTATTCGGCTAGACCCTTTTCTTGACTGATATATGCGGGTCTACAATATTTCAAATTAATTTGTGCTTAAAGTTATCATAATTGAACGATTTTTTATGAAAATAAAAATTCGAGGAATACGATTATATAACTCAAAAATTATATTGAATTGCGAACTTACCTTCTTTTGGCGGTATCCCAACCCGCAACTATGAGATGCGAAATAACATAATCAGCGGGCACCATGTCTGCCACTTTATTAGGATCACAATGCAAAGTACGTAATAAACCTATGGCACTACCCATGACAACACCGACTGCTCCATATACGTTGTTGATCCAGCCACTCACTGGTTCCTCAGCGGTTGATGTTATAATTGATGGTCGTACAATGCAAACTGGAATTCCTATGCTGTATTGTCGAACAGTGTCTTCAGCGATCGCCTTTGTATATGCATATGAATTCGGCCAGTCATCTATTAATCTATATTTGTCCACATATTATACACAATAACGTAGTATAAAAAAATTTTCACATGTATCTTTTATTTAAAAGTTATATACATATATATTTATTAATCTTTATCACTTATATTATATATTTATATAGATAGATAGCTGTCCTTTTCTTTCTCTTTTGCTCATAGATATATAAAATTATATAAAATATATAATACAAATATTATATTATTATATTTATAAAATTAGGAAAGGAACTTTTTGTTCAAAATTCCATTTTCTTTCACTCCTAGAAATATTAATTAAGAGTTATGGGACATTCTGGATATATACATATATATATATATACACACACATATATGTATATATATATGTATACATATGTGTGTGTACACATATACATAAATTATACATTGAATGAGAGTTTGATAACAGCTACTAAATGTTTAGTGAAATAATGCTAATTAAATGTTTGTTTATAATCAATAATAAGATTTTTTTATTCGGACCGACAAGAATTAAACACTAAGTATAAGCGTATTCAGGCTTATCACGGTCAAAGCTAGATCTTTTTTGCCTAAATAATTCCCAGTGAATTATCTATATCCTATATATATGTACATCATATTTTTGTAGTTATTCAAACTACGCGCCGAAATTTTTCCGGACTTTATCTAACGCAATTAAACTATTGCAATAATATCACAAGTTAAATTAAATTGACAATGTGCTGAAAACCTTAAATAAATTCATTGCGAAAAATATTACTTCGGCCGTGACTTGAACCCGGATCTCTTGTATTCCGCACGAGCGTCCTAAGCTATTAGACCACCGAGGCCTTAATAATATTCTTCGCAATAATCAGTATATGTAAGAACAATAACGCTTTTTTGCAGGCAGCGTGTATAACCAATAATAAGATTTTTTTATTCGGACCGACAAGAATTAAACACAAAGTATAAGCGTATTCAGGCCTATGACGGTCAAAGCTAGATCAAAGCTATATTCTATATAAGACATAGATAATTCACTGAAAATTATTTAGGCAAAAAAGATCTAGCTTTGACCGTCATAGGCCTGAATACGCTTATACTTTGTGTTTAATTCTTGTCCGAATAAAAAAATCTTATTATTGGTTATACACGCTGCCTGTAAAAAAGCGTTATTGTTCTTACATATACTGATTATTGCGAAGAATATTATTAAGGTCTCGGTGGTCTAATGGCTTAGGACGCTCGTA